GCCCCTTTCTACTCAGTTTCTGCTCTCAACTCAGTGACAGGAATCCCAGGGACTGCCACATCCCTAGGCCCAGGGAATTTTTTCTGCCCCCACCCCACCCTTGTTCCCCACTCTGTTCCTCCCCTAGGCATCTTGAAGAACCGATTGCAGTACCCACTGGTGCCACAGACCCGAGGTGCTTCTGAGCTGTCCTGGTGCCGGGCAGCCACCTTGGGCCACTGTGCTGTGCCAGCTGCTTCTTATGGTCGCATCTATGCTGGTGGAGGCACAGGCAGCCTTTCACAGCCAGCCAGTCGCTATTCTTCTCGAGAACAGCTGGATGTGCTCTTGCGGAGGCAGCTGAGCCGGGAGCAGCTGGAGGAGCTCCCTGTTCCTGTTCTGAACAGGCCCCTGAGCCGGCCAGGGTCCCAGGAATACCTGGATGCTGTACCAGGCCGCCCAGAGCCTAGAGATCGGGGCAGCACCCTACCACGGAGGCAGCCACCCCGGGACTACCCTGGAGTCATGGCTGGCCGCTTTGGGTCTCGGGACGCGCTGGACTTAGGGGCACCCCGAGAGTGGCTGAACACATTGCCCCCTGCACGCCGTACCAGGGACCTTGACCCCCAGCACCCATCTCTGCCCCTGTCTCCCCAGCGGCAGCTCTCAAGGGACCCCCTCTTGCCATCCCGACCCCTGGACCCTCTGTCGAGGAGCTTGAACTCTCGGGAGCGGCTGGACCAGGGGCCTAGTCAGCACCCCTCACGAGAGGTCCTTGGACCACCCCCGCCACTCCTCAGAGCGAGGGAGGACGCTGCCAGTGGCCCCAGCCACGGCCCCTCCACGGAGCAGCTGGACATTCTCTCCTCCATCCTTGCCTCATTCAACTCCTCAGCCCTGTCCTCAGTGCAGTCCTCAAGCACACCCTCCGGCCCTCACACCACGGCCACGCCTTCTGCCACTGCCTCTGCGCTTGGGCCCTCTACACCCCGCTCCGCCACGTCACTCAGCATCTCAGAGCTGTCGCCGGATTCAGAGTAAGCATGGCCACTGTGCTGTACCCTCATCGGCTCAGAGCACCCTTCTGTGTACCCCACCCTGAGTTCCATCGCAAGATGGGGTGGGAGTTGGCAGATAGGTGTCAGCTACCCCAGGCTGGTGACAGAGACCTGGCCGGGAATGGAAATATAACCGGTAGGGACTTGTCAACTGTGTGACTGGGGCCAGCCTCCCTTTTCCACACCTCTCAGACTATGGAGAGGAGATAAGTGCTTTCTGAAGGGCAGGAGCTAGCGAGGGAGACAGGACAGGAATGAAGTCTTGGAGTGGGAGGTAACAGGGTATTTGTAAGGGGCAGACAGGAGAGGGGAGGCTTTGCTTAAGAGTCTCTGCCTAAGTGGTCATGTGGGACATGCCAGGGTGAAGTGCCAACTTGGAGAATAAATCATTCATTGCAGTATTCAGTCAATATTAAGTTCCTTCTGCCTGTGGCCACTGTAGGATGGGGCTCAGAGGTATTGAGTTGGGACCTGACACATCCCTGGTAGCTGCAGGAGCTCCATGGGTAGAAGATGACAGACACACCCAGAAGTAGCTGCATATATAGGAATCTAAGAAGGAATGCTGGGACTCAGGAGGTCTTGTAACTCAATAGGAAAGTTGCATTTCAGGCAGAAAGGGCTTAGCTCAGACTAGGAGGAGCGGATGTCTGTAGGGTGAGAGGGCTCTGGGGGCAGAGTAGGGGATGAATTGGACCGAGCAAGGCCCATGCTGAGAGAACAAAGGAAGGAAGGAGAGGCAGGGGTTTGGAGTCCTGGAGGGAAGGTGAGGGGCAGGGTCCCTGGGATGCCTAGCCTTGGGGTCTGGCTATGTGGGAGGAGGGCTGGGGGACTGACCAGGGTTTCAGGCTTTGGAGTCACACATGGAGCGTTAGTTTTGTCTGCCACCTCACTAGCTGATTTTTGGCAGGGTACCATTCTCTGCTTCTTTATCTGTAGAAGGGGTCTATAGTGACAAACTCAGATGTGGAGAGTTGGGAGACATTATCTTTCAAGTGCTTCACAGAGCACCTCTACACAGCAGGCGTTTTCTAAGTGCTTAGAGAAAAGACCTCAGGGGCCCAGAACCTTGCTGATGAATCTGGTACCCAGAGTGGGTGGAGGATTCAGGACCCTGGAGCAGGCATCAGGGGGCTTAGAGATGGATTAGGCCAGGACTGGTGGAGAAGCCTAACTTGAGTTAGGGTACTCTTGCTGATGACCTTTGATTTCCATATTCAATACTGCAGAGTTCCCAGAAGTGAGGGTCACTCCTGAGGGGCAGAAGTGCAGATGAGGACGAGCAGCAGGGTGATGGAAGATTTGGGCTAAAAGAAGAGATTCCACCAGTCACAGGCTGAGCCCAGGGCGGCCTACTGGGAGCCCTCTTCAGCTCTCAAGGAGGTTCCATGCGCATCTGTGAGCATGCATGTGACAGGTGCAGGGGTGGGGACTGAAGGGAGGACTTTTATACCTTTTGTATCTTTGTAACCAGAGAGATATGCTTATGTTATTTTTCAGCTTTTTTTGTTGGGTTGGGGGATCTGAAGCTGGGCTGGGAGGGAGAAGGGGACAGAGGGAGAGACACACAGAGTTTGGCCCCATTTGGGTCACTAGCAAACCATGTTTTCTCTCATCTTACTAGGGTGGAGCCAACAGGTGGGACACATGCCCTCCTTCCCCACCCCACCACCCCACCCCTAGGTTGAGCTGAAGATTGTCAGGGCTCAAAGTACAGAATGCATCTTTGCTTTTTCTTGAATGCCTTGCAGAAAGTTGTGGGGTTGTGGGTGAGTCTTGGAAACAGGGGTCCTCCAATCCCTCAAAGAGGCTTGCTCATGCCACCCCTCCCTGTGGACACCTGTGTGTTATGGGGAGTCCCTGCCACTTGCTGCCTTATACCTAGGACTGATGCTGTGGGTTGCTGGTGGAGCAGCAGATGTCATGTTTACAGAGCAAGGCTTCCCCTTCTCCCTTGGGGAGGCTTGGGCCTCTACTCAGACCCTCCTTCAGGGGTAGGTGTGCCGGGGGTTGCTTGCCTACCCCTACCTGAGCAAAACTCTGCGGTGCCATTTGATTCCCTGACACTGCCCCCTGAAGGTAGGCAAGTGGGTGAGGAAAGGGAGCAGAAATAAGGGAATTCAAGACCCCGAATGTAGGTGCCACTGCCCTCCCATGTTTACAGGATCCTCCTTGGCCCTAGGCACCTGGGCTGCAGAAGTGACTCACTTCCACTCCTCCTTCATTCCCTTATAAAGGGAAGAATGACTGTTAGGACCCTATTCACAAAACTCTTACTTTTCTTACTTTGATGTTCAGAACTGGGGACTTTACATTTTTGTTACTTTGTTTACAGGTAGAGATACTTTTAAATGTTATACTTTGTCTACAATTTAAAACTTTGAACTTTTACACTTTGTTTACAGTTGAGCATTTTTTCCCTTTGTTTACAAGTGAAAGGTAGGAAAATTGGGAAAGGGGTGTAGCAGACCTACACCTGTGAAGACCTGGCCCTGGCCATCTTGAGGGGTTTCTAACCTCCGGCTCTCCGGGGCAAAGGTCAGCCTTGAGTCCCCCGTTTAAGAGCAAACCCAGGAGGCCAGAGTCAGCACCCTCTTGCCTCTGGGAACAGTGGTTGTGTAGGGTGCAGATACCCGCACCCCATGCATATTTTTGGGAGGCAGTTTCCTAGGAGATTAAAAATTCTACTTCATTGACTGGTGCCAAATCCCACCAGCCAGGACTTCAGCTCTCCTTACCCAGAATGACCCCAGCCCTTGAAGGCTGTGGTTAGGACATCCTTGTTATGTCCTAGGTGCTATAGAATCCCCTCTCTGGGGTCCCCCCCAGCCCAGCTGCCCTCTTTCCTGTTCCGTGAAGCCGCGCTCTGTTTTGGGAATAAACTTCTATAGAAAACGGATGCTGTCTCTTTCTGTGGAGGTGGTGAAAGGGTGGTGGCTGTGACTGACCTTTGGGAGTAATTTGAGCCCTCTGCTTTCAAGAACATCCAGTTATTTTTAGCCCATTTCACAGGATATCTGGACCAGGTTCCCCTCTCTTTCACGCTGATATCTGGCCCCTCACCTTGTGACTGGGTCCGAGGTTGGTGCGTAGGTGCTGGGAGCAGGGTGCCCAGGGTACAGGTCTCCTGGGCCAGTAGCATCATGCAGACTTCTGAAGTGTTCAGACCCTGCAGCCCTGGCCTGGCATTCTCTTCCCAGCCCGGTCTTCAGATCAGCTCTTGTTTTGCCCACAGACCCCACTGATGCCGGGGCTAGCCACTACTATTCCTCCGAGGCCCAGGAGGGACCTTGTGGCGCGATGCTGGGTCTTCGTGCGGGAGCAGGACGCTTGTCCCTTCATCTCCAGCCTGGATAGCGAGAGTTTGAGGAGACCCTTGGGGACTCACGTGGGTCTCTGGATGCGCAGAAGTTAGGGGTAGCTTCTGCGTGCTTCGCGGGAGCCCTCCGCAAAGCCAGGACTAGAACCTGCTCCTTTCCACTCGGGGGCGCCCAGCGACACGGCTGCAGCCAGTCGTGAGTGGGTCCCAGGTTCCAATTCTGCAGTCGCCTCCCGCAGGAGAAGAGCTCTGAGCGAGTCGCGTGGGTGCTGGAGCCCAGGCTCGGGCAGGAAGGGGTTAAACCTCCCTTTCCCGACTCGCCCCGCCTGGAGACCTGACGTAGGCTGGCCTCCAGCACTGGTTGGTCCGATCCCGCACTCGGGTCCCGGGATTGGCCCGGGTCTCTTCTGGCTTCGAGCGGAGCGGCCTCTCTCCGGACCCGCTAGGAGCCTCCGCTGCCGGGTCGTGTGGGCGCTATGGGGCCGTCGGACGCGTGCGAGTGACTGCGGGCTCCCTGGGCCCGAGGGTCCACTGATGCGCCTGGGTTTGCCAACCTAGCGGTTTCCTGCGGGTGGCGGCCCATCTGCGCGGAGGGATGTGTCGGAGGTCCGGAGACCAGACCGGAGGTGTGCAGCTGGGCCCAGAGGTCTACAGCCGGGCGGGTGACAGCTGAGGAGAGCCTCAGGCCTGGCCAGGGTCCTACAGTGCCTTGGGTTAGAGTGAGAGCCCCGCCCTGCAGGCCCGGGGCGGCCCAGGGGCGGGGCCAAGGTCGAGGCTCCGCCCCCAAAGCGTGTCCCGCTTGGAGTGGGAGGGAGTCCTTAAGAAGACGTGAGTGACTCTGGAGGAGGGAGAGGGAGTCTCAGATCTCCGGGACAAGTCAGTGCCGAGAACCTGAAGATCTTTCTCCCTCCTGCTCTGCTCCCCCTCCAGTTGGAACATCCAGGTTAGAGGCTCTTCCCAGGTGAGTGCCTACCCCTCACATGGAGTGCTCTTCTCTCAGACCAGAATTCCTCTGACAGGGTAAAGCCTTCTCAACGTACTAAAGTCCCTGCCCTTCCAGAACACTGCCTCCCCCGCCAGGAGATCTGCTCCCAGGGAAGGCTTTTTCCCCCTCCACCCTCCAGCTGAGCGCTTTCCCCACATCTTCTCAGAAAAGAGCCCTTACCCCTTCTGCGAAACTCCTTTTTCCAGGTGAGGTCTTTTTCCCCCTGTAGAGGGGAGCCACTGGGCCATGAGGTTACTCCCAGGTCAGAGATTTTCCTTATCCATACCTTTTGAGATGATGAAGCCTTTCCTGGAAGGTCAGAATTCTCTCTAGGTGAAACTGGTCCTAAAATCTCTTTTTTCCAGGTGAGATTTTTCTGTACTTCAGGTGGTAGCTTCCCACTCCAGTAATGACCCCCTTTCTCCTCAGAGATGCCCTAAGTGAGAGCCATCCCTTGGCTTTCCCAGACTAGGCCTCAGCTTGTCTGCAACCTGTACTCTGATGCTGGACGCCTAGGGCAAACTGTCCTTCTCTTAGAGACAGAGGGTCTCATCTGCACACCTGAGGCTTTGAGAAAGTTGCTTGAAGACCTGGACCTCTGCTTTGTTGGATCCCTTCCCTGAGTGTGCTCTCAGCTGGCCAGGCTGGGTTCACAGGGCAACTGGATAAGGATGCAGGGACCGGTTCCAAGAGGGCAAGGGACTAGGAGGAGGGGGCTAGGAGCAGCAGTGAGCCTGGACCGAGACCTGGACCTGGACCGGTACTCGGGGCTAGACGGCCACACCTAGGCTGAATGTGTGGAGTTGTGTTCATCCTGTTCTCCCTTCATGAGGGACTTTGGCCTAGAAAGAGGCCTCTACTAGCCAAAGTTCAGGTACTGCCTCTGCTTGGGTGTGAGCATGGGGCTTGCAGGGACCAGGTGGGGGCTGGACTTATCATGATCTTGGGGCCTGGAAAAATCAGGTGTGTGACTCTGGTCCCAGGCGGAAATGTAGGAAAAGTAAGGCATGGGATTTCACACTGTATCTCCTTGGTCTCACTATCCCAGACTGAGGGACACTCAGGCACTGCTGTCTACAGTACCAACCATGGAGCTTCAGAAACGCGACTATCATGTAGAACGGCCACTGCTGAACCAGGAGAAGCTGGAGCACTTGGGGCACTGGGGCCCAGCACCTAGAACCCATCAATGGCGAACCTGGTTTCAGTAAGGTCAAGGATAGGGCTGTGGGGCTCTGGCGGGGGCAGGTTCCTCTACCACTGACATGTTCCCTTCCTTTCTTCAGGTGCTCCCGTTCTCGGGCCCGTGGCTTCCTTCTCAAATACCTCCCAGTCTTGGGCTGGTTACCCCACTATCGTGTGCGTGAATGGCTCCTGGGTGACTTGTTGTCTGGCCTGAGTGTGGCCATCATGCAGCTTCCACAGGGTGAGCTACCTTCAAGGCCCTGGCCTGTAAGCCCTATGGCCTGTGAAACCCCAACCCGGAGTCATGACCTCTGATCTTGGAATTATGGCCCCTGGCCCAGAACTTGGATTTCATCAACCTTTTGAGACCCTTTTCTCCAAGCCTGCATTGCTCCCATTCCACCTGCAGGCTTGGCCTATGCCCTCCTGGCTGGATTGCCCCCTGTGTTTGGCCTCTACAGCTCCTTCTACCCTGTCTTTGTGTACTTCCTGTTTGGTACTTCCCGACACATCTCTGTGGGTAAGTGGAGTCAGGCCTGTCCCTCTGGGAAGATGCCTATATCTGTCATGGAACATGGATGAGGGAAGGAAAACAGGACAGGGGCTCATCTCTAGGCAAGACTACGCCATTGATCTGGAACTGCAGATTCAGGGTAGTGGAAAGCAGATGTGAATAAGTGAGGCAGCTCATGGGGCCCAGAACTGGGAAGAATCTACAAGTATGAGATGTGCCCTGACCCATTTCCCATTCCACAAAGAGCCTGTGTTCCTGAGCCAGTGAGCACAGAGGTGCAGGGGAGATGATGCAAGACCAGCCTTACTAGCCATCAGAGCTGTGAGCTCAGGGTTCACACTGGACCTGGCTGGACCTAGCTGCCAGCACTGCCCCATGTGCTTAGCCATAGTCTAAATTTGTTCAGATCTGGATACTTGGCCTCTCTTAAGACCAGGGTTACGGGGTAGGGCAGTGTCCTCCTTAAGCCTGCCCTACCTTGTCCTTGCAGGGACCTTTGCTATTATGTCTGTGATGGTGGGCAGTGTGACAGAATCCATCACCCAGGATGAGGACTTCCAGCAGGGCACAAACTCCACTCTTGTTGCCCGTGTGCAGCTGGCCTCCACACTCAGTGTCCTGGTGGGCCTCTTCCAGGTGTGGAGCAGTTAGGAGTGTGTGCCCTGCCCCATTCCCTGGGTGTCTGCCTGTCCTCCTTCTCCTCATTCATCCCCTCTGATCCTGGGTCCTAGGCCACCCCTGTTACTCCTACCTTCTTTGACTCCCCCACCCCCGGCCACCTCACAGGTGGCCCTGGGCCTGGTGCACTTCGGCTTCGTGGTCAACTACCTGTCTGAGCCACTGGTACGCAGCTACACCACAGCTGCATCTGTGCAGGTCTTCGTCTCACAGCTCAAGTATGTGTTCGGCCTCCAGTTGAACAGCCGCTCAGGGCCCCTGTCCCTTATCTATGTGAGTGAGTGTGGCAGTGGGTGAGGGAGGTGTGCCCATGATCTTGAGTACTGGCTGTGACCCCACCTCTCCTCAGACTTTTCTGGAGATCTGCTGGAAGCTGCCCAAGAGTGTGGTTGGCACCGTGGTCACTGCAGTTGTGGCAGGAGTGGCACTCGTGATGGTGAAGATACTGAATGACAAGCTGCATCGGTGTCTCCCTCTGCCAGTACCTGGGGAGCTGCTCACGGTTTGCATGCCAGGGAGCGAGGGAGAGGGGCAAATGAGGATAGACCCTGATCATGCAGGCAGCCTCCAGATTTTAGAGGGCCAACTTCTGTGGCCACTGTGAGGACTCCTGGCGACTGAGGGGACCACAACAGAAAGCTCTCATTTGACTCTTTCCGTTCAACAGCATCTTTCCCCAGATGGTAGTGCCTCTCTCCTCCTCACCCCTTGCATGGTTTTTGCCTCAGTCTCCCTCTTCACCCCCAGAATGGTTCATCTGTCTCCCTGATGATAACACTTGCACCTCCCTCTCCTGACTCTGTGTTCTTCCCATAGCTCATTGCAGCCACAGGCATCTCCTATGGCGTGGACCTGAAAAACAGATTTAAGGTGGACACCGTGGGCACCATCCCCACAGGGTAAGCTCCAGTCTCTGCCAGGTCGGGGCAGGTCGCTGAGTCAAGACCAGGACTGTCCTCAACCTCACAGATGCTTCTTCTAGGCTGATCTCCCCTGTGGCACCCAACCCCCAACTATTTGCAAAGCTGGTGGGAAATGCCTTTGCCATCGCTGTGGTCGGGTTCGCCATTGCCATCTCACTGGGGAAGATCTTCGCCCTGAGACACGGCTACCGGGTGGACAGCAACCAGGTCTAGATGGTGTGGGACATGGAGGGGACTTCCTGCAGAGGCTCCAGCCAGTTGAGGGAGAGAGCATCAGGCTGGGCATGGGGGTTGAGGAGAAAAACAGGTGTTAGGAATACAGCACAGGCTTGTGGGCTATTGTAGGGATGGGAGGTTGGTGGCGCATCTGCCTGGACACCAGCCAGCACCTCTGGCAAACCTCCTCATAGCCACACTCCCCCACCAGGAGCTGGTGGCCCTGGGCCTCAGTAACTTCATCGGAGGCTTCTTCCAGTGCTTCCCTGTGAGCTGCTCCATGTCCCGGAGCCTGGTACAGGAGACCACTGGGGGCAACACACAGGTGGGCCGTGGGTGTGGGCAGAGGGGTGTGTTTATATCGGTGTGCACCCTGCTTTGCCAGTGGTGCCACCCTGTTTGCCCCCACGCCTCAGGTTGCTGGAGCAGTCTCTTCCCTCTTCATCCTCCTCATCATCCTTAAACTTGGGGACCTCTTCCAAGACCTGCCCAAGGTGAGCCCAGCCCTCCCCACTAGGCTTCAGGGCCTTGGTCAGACTAGGAGCTCCAGTCAGCCATTCTGGTCCTGGCGAGGTGAGAGCAGGGAGGCAAAGTAGAGCCCCAGTTTTGAAATCTTTGGGGTGAGATCTGGAATCCAGGGTCAAGGGTCAGAACGCCTCAGAGTCAGATCCAAGTTGTTCAGGTTGGAGGAAACGGCAGCTGCTCTTGGCTCTGCATGGGTGCTGGGGGTTAGTCTGAGTCATACCTGGGAAGTCGAGGTTGGCAGCATCTGGGCACTTCTAGGCAGCCCTGATGACATTTCTCCTACCCCAGGCAGTGCTGGCAGCCATCATCATTGTGAACCTGAAGGGCATGTTGAAACAGTTCACTGACTTACGCACCCTCTGGAAGGCAAATCGAGTAGACCTGGTGAGAGGCCTGTGACGCCAGGGTGGGTGGGCAGCCCTCAGCCCTCAGCCTGACGGCCCTTCTAGACCCCTTGACACTGATGCTCTATTCCCAGCTTATCTGGGTGGTGACTTTTGTGGCCACCATCCTGTTGAACCTGGACCTTGGCCTGGCAGTTGCGATAGGCTTCTCCCTGCTGCTTGTGGTAGTCCGAACGCAGATGTGAGTCAGACCTTGAGCTTCCCCCAACTCCAGCTGGTGAGGCTGTAGGGGCTGCACTGGTTTCCCCAGTTGTCCCTACATCTGGGGGCTGGTCCTTAGTGTGCCTTCAGGGCTCTTTTTGTTTGCCTCCTCCACAGGCCCCGCTACTCTGTCCTGGGGCAGGTGCCAGACACAGACATTTACAGAGATGTGGCAGAGTACTCAGAGGTGTGTGGCGGGTGCTGAGGGGAGGCTGTTGGTGGGGTGCGACAGGCAGAGTGAGCCCTTGTCAGTATTCCACTGTAGCAAGGCCACTGGGGACTGAGGTCACTTTGACTTTGGTCCTTAGAATTTCAAGGTAGAAGGAGCTGGCATGGGGAGGGGAGAGGTCGGGGGAGAGGAGAAAAAGGGGCAGGATGGATGGGTCTGGGGAACTGAGGAGGCTCAGTCTTAGAATCAGCAGCCCTGGATCAGGAATATGAAGTGGCGGTGTCCTTGGGCATGAGGTGTAGGGGAGGCTGGTTCTCGATCTGGTCAGTGGGTTGGCTACTAAGTCCCCAGTCTGTTCACTTCTCACGAAGTTGTGACTGATGTTCAAACATAGGGTGGGAGTAGAGTTATGAAATAAAATAAGCCCCTTCCCTGGCATAGTCCTGAAGCCTGAGCACATGATGTTTGCATAGAATGAGGGGTCGGACCAAGGAGTCCAAGGCATGGAAGAGTATATAAAGGAGCAGCCTGGCTGGATGAAGAAGGGCACCGTGTTTCAGCAGAGTCCTGGGCTGTGTCCTGAGTGTTGGGACTGGGAAGGTGGGATTGGCATGACAGCTTAGAGGGGCCTTGTTGCCCATAGAAAGAGACCACAGGACAGGTTGGAGCCCCAACAGGAGGGCAAAACTTGCCTGGATGGACCAGGGATTTAGCACAGTGGCACCAGGCCTGCCTCGCAAGTGCAAGGCACTGAGATCCATCCCCGATTCAAAACCAAAACAAAGCAAAACAAAACTTGCCTGGGTAGTAGCACAGGGGAGGAGAGGTGGGAAGGGAGAGGGCCTGGGCAGGGCTGGAACAGGATGGGCGGTCAGAGTGATCTAGGCTCTTGACTCGTGCTCCAGGCAGAGGGCAGGGGTGGCAGGCACCCAGTGCTCTTGGGAGGAGAAGCAGAAGGGTATGCCACACCGGGACAGGATGAAGGAGGGGACAGTTTAGCTCACCACCTTCAGCCCTGCCCATCCCCAGGCCAAGGAGATCCCTGGTGTGAAAGTCTTCCGGTCCTCAGCCACCTTATACTTTGCCAACGCTGAGCTCTACAGTGATGCACTGAAGCGGAAGGTAAGGCCATGGTCTCCTGGAGGGTGCCTGAGGGACCCTAGCTTCCCCAGGGTGCCCAGTCCCTTCCTCTGATGTTTGCCTCTAGTGTGGGGTGGATGTTGACCGTCTCCTGGCCCAGAAGAAGAAGCGGCTGAGAAAGCAGGAACGGAAGTTGAAGCAACAGCAGAGAGACAAACAGGCAGGGCCCCTTTCAGCTGCTGATTCCTGGCCTGGCCTCTGCCCTCTGCCTTGCTGTTGACCCCAGCTGACCTTTACCCTACCCTGTCCTTCTTGCTTGCTTTTCTATGTGTTTTGCCGTGTGCTTCTCATCAGCCTTTCCTCCAGTTTCCGGGTTCCTGACTTCTCAGCCTCTCTCCTTGCCCTTCCCTTTCTCCTTCAGGCCTCTGAGTCCTGGCCTGGCTCCACTCCAATGGTGTTTTGTTGCTCTTGGGCTTCCTGTTCCAGTGACAGCCCGAACCATCACCATCCCCTCCATCTCTATGGCTGCTCCCAGCATCAGCCAGAACTCTGCTGCCTCACCTTGGCTGCCCTGGGTCCCACAGCGTTGGTCCTGGCCCACCTACCTGTCCAAAGTCGAGAATACAAACACCAGGCCTGCCTGGCATGTTGTCAAATGCAGCTGAGAGAGCTCTTTTCTGTCCCCTCTTCCCCTATCTAGGCTGCCCCTTCCAGTGGCACCTCGGTGTCTATCAATGTGGACACCAGCCTTGGAGACATCAAGGGCAGTGGTGTGGAGGACTCTGGGATCAAGGTGAGGCTGGGGTAGAACCCAGAGATGTGGGTGGCACACATGTCCTGTGAGGAAAGCCATGGGCCTGGTAGCCATGGGCTCAAGGGTGTTGTGCCGACAGCAGTAGGAGACCTCTACTAGCACAGGGCTCTGTTATGGCTCTCTTGTCTATGAGCTCAGGCTTGGGTGAAGACCTAGAATTTATAGATGTCACAGACCCCACAGTCTGTGCTCCCTGGTTGTATGGGTTGTGGGGGCGTGCTAAGCCAGAGATTGGACAGGACATCTGTGGCTGAGTCTGTACACACCGATACTTGGTCTATTGCTCTGTCCCTGGGCACCACCCATTCTACCCTGAGGATGGAACGTGGTCACCTTCCCTTCTTGTGCCTCTGTTAAGCCTGGACCCAAGAAGTGACAGAGCAGTATGTGCATGTCCACGTACACTTTCCCATGCATCCCTGTGCCTGTCCCTTCTGTCTTTGTGTGTCCTCACCTTCCTGTTTCCTCTGCACACCCCCATATTGTGGGTGTTCCCACACGTTCTCATCTCTGACACTGCTTCTCCCTGGGAGATGTGTGTGCTGCCTGCCTTTGCACCCTTGTGGTCAGCCCTTCATTGTGTCTCCTCTGTAGATGAGTCCAGCAAATGAACTGGAGCATGTGGCAGTCAGCAGGCAAGAAGATGCCAAGGCCCCAGATGTATCCACACTGAAGGCCCTGGGCCTGCCCCGGCCAGACTTCCACAGTCTCATCTTGGACCTGGGAGCCCTCTCCTTTGTGGACACTGTGTGCATCAAGAGCCTGAAGAATGTAAGCGGCTATGATGACACCGCTCAAGTCTCCACTCTGACCTGGTCACTGGCCCTGAGAGCCTTCTGAGTTTTTCCAATCCCCCTAAACCATCAGAGTCCCCTTAAAGTCCCTCCACCAGCCTGTCCAATTGTCCTTTGAACCCAACCCCTTTTCTGTTGCAGATTTTCTGTGACTTTCGTGAGATAGAGGTGGAGGTGTACATCGCTGCCTGCCACAGTACGTTGGCTGGGAAATGCAGGAGCAATCTAGGAAGAGGTTGGGATTCTTTTGGCTGGAGGGTTTGCCAGGAAGCACAAGGAGAAGTGTCTCTGAAGCCAGAGGTCAGAGGTGTCCTGGGAGGTAGCAGTGAAGAGTCAAGAGTGATTTGTGTCCAAGGTCAAGATTTAGCTCAGTGGCACTGTGCCTTCCTCGAAATCACAACGTCGTGAGTTTGATCCCCGGTAATAAACACAACACAACAGGGCCGGGGATTTAGCTCAGTGGTTCGGTGGCCTGCTTGCAAGCGCAAGGACCCGAGCTCAATCCCCAGTACCAAAAAAAAAAAAAAGACCACAACACAACAAAACAAAACAAAAAAGCACAAAGAGTTGACTTATGTCCAGCTGTAGCCCCAGGGGTGATAGACATTGTACATTCTGGGGTGCCTAGGGGTTGGTGCTCCTATTGGCCCTGGGAGTCAGAGGAGATCTCATCTGCAGGCCCTGTGGTCACGCAGCTTGAGGCTGGGTGCTTCTTTGATGCCTCCATCACTAAGCAGCATCTCTTTGTCTCTGTCCATGACGCTGTGACCTTTGCCCTCCAACACTCAAGATCTGGTCCCAACACCCCTGTTTTGGTAAGCTGACTTCTGGCCTGCTGAGCTGTTTCTTGTTAATCTGTTGCATGTCCCCACTCTGAACCCATGTGCAGAAAGTTCATCCCATCCACTGTGGCTTTGTTCCCAGTGAACCCGTTAGTCTTAGCACCCCACCCCCACCCTGTCTTTGGATAAGGCTGTTCCTGGGGCAGGGGTTGTAGCTGGTGGGGAAGGGACAGGGACAGGGATGGAATGTGTCCTTTGGAAACTGACTGAAGGCTCCCTTCTTCTGCCCACACAGGCCACAAAACTCTGATTGTGCTGCCAGCTGCCCAACACTGCCCACCTCTGGAGGTTGTAATGGAGCATCCTCGAGAAGTCCCCAGCCCTGGGCTACCTCCAGGTGCCACCCAGGAGTCCCCTCCATGCACACACACATGTAACTCAGGGATAGAGGTCCTGGGACTCCAAGTTCAGTGTTAGCGGCCCCGGGCAAGGTGCTACAGTCAGGCTGGCCTTGGCTGGGTACAGGGAGGAGCCAGTGTATTTTAAGGCTCAGAAATAAAGATATGTCTGCTCATTCCAGGCTCTGTTGTGGCTGGTTGGGGCTTGGCTGGGTGTCTCGTGATCCTCAGCTCTGGCTTGTGACTCTTCTCCTGACTCAGGATAGAAGATGGGGATAGAAGCTGAAGGAGATTTGGAGAAAGGGCCAGGCAGACAGTGGGCAGAACAGGGAAGCTGGGGGCCATCACTAGGGTCAGGTTTCTTACTAGCCGCACACACAGCTCTCAGATCCTGACTGGAAGATGGTTGCAATTAGAGCTGCTTCTCAGGAATCTTCTGTTCTCAGAGATACTCAGTAGGTGGCATGGCAGAATGGGTGCTACTGGGCAGTCTCTGGGCATGCAGAGTGGACCCCTGGCACCTAGTTGAGGAAGATCAGTTACTGATCAGCTTTTAAAATAAGAGTACCAGCCGTGGTGGTACTCACCTGTAATCTCAACACTTAGGAGGCGGAGGTAGGAGGATCGTGGTGAGTTTGAGGCCACCCTGGACTACATAGTGAGTTTATGGCCAGCCTGAACTATGTGGTGAGACCTTGTCTCTAAAGAACAAGTGTGACTGATTGCCTGTTCCTATAATTAGTTCATTGGGTTTGGCTGAGCACTGTCAGTCAAGAAGCATGTGTTGGTTTCTGCCATGAAATGCCAATATCAACTGGTAGGGGGCTTTGCCCAGCTGATGGGGGGACATGGATGGGATGCTAGCATCTTTCTGGGCCTCCAACTGCTCCTGATCAGTGAGGAATGACAGCAGTACTCACCCAGGGGCTGCTCAGTATTAAGTGAAGAGATACCAGAAATGCTTAGAACAGCACAGGGCTCACATCACCTGCTCAGAACATGTGGGCTTTGCCATCGTTCTGTCTGGGCAGAGCCAGGCCTGTGCTGAGTGCTGGGCTTAGTTCTCATGGGGACAAAGGCTGCTTTGCCCTCCACGTTACCTAAGCACTCTTGCCCAGCCTTGTTTTTATCATGGCCCCTGCTGGTGCCTGGCACCGTATTTATAGAACACCCATGCCCCTGCCAGAACCTCAGAGCTCTTTGTCTGCCTTGTCACATTGCTTTTTCTGGCACCAGGAACAGGCACTCAGTAAATATTGGTTGAATGCAACCTGGAGGCTGGAGTCAGGGGCAGACCTCAAATAAGGAATCAGAGAGGCAGAAGAAAAAGACCAGGGTCACTTTAGAGAGAAGTGACTATTACTCAACACGGTCACGGGATAGGGGTGGTGACACTTGTATAGAAACTCTAGCTGTGAGAAAGTGACTTTCTAGGAAGGCCAGCATGAACCTCTAGGCTTTGGTTATTTGTATATATGAATGTATGGGTTTTTTTGTTTTGTTTTGTTTTGTTTTCATTTTGTTACTGGGATCGAACTCAGGACCTTGTGCTTGTGAGGCAGGTGGAGGAACCACTGAGCTAAATCTCCAGCCCTGTATGTATGTATTTTTTAAGTACCGGAGATTGACATAGGGCCTTTGTACTAAGCTATAGCCCAGACCATTTTTGTTTTGTTTTGTTTTGTTTTGTTTTTTAAGAGGGTATCCCTATGTAGTTCAGTCTGGCCTTGAACTCACTATGTAGCCCAGGCTGGCCTTGAACTGGTGGTGATCCTGTCTCAGCCTGCCGAGTGCTAGGATTATAGGTGTGCCGGCCGCCACGTGTGGTTCTTTTTTGCTTTTAAATTTTAAGATAGGGTCCTGCTAAATTGTCCAGGCTAAGCTTGAGCCTGAGATCCTTGTACCTCAGTCTCCCAGAGTGGTGGGCTCCAGGCGTGTGTGCCGCCTTGCCTGGCCCTTTGGCTTTTTGCTGATGGTGAGGGGAGCTACCATTCGGAGTAAGGTGGCCAGAGGTACTGGGCTGGGTGTCAGGCTTTGAAGCAGTTCAGTTGTCTTCTGCTTGATAAGCCCAGAGGGTACTGCCCTGGGGCAGAGCAGCACCTCAGGTAGAGGCGGAGGAATGAAGCACTCCTTAGGACCTCAACCACCATTCCTCCCCAGCTCTGGAACTCAGTCCCTCCTTCCCTTTTCTGGGAAGGTCCTGGTCCCAGCCAGAACGTGTGGCCTCAGAGCAAGGCCTGCTCTGGGGGAGGGGTATTTGCTTGTTGCCAGGCGCCTGGGTTCCGGCCTCTGGCAGTGGCCACAGATATGCTGCAGGCATTGTCCCTACTGTTCTTACTGCTCCTGCTGGCAAAGTCTGCCCCTACCCTTGCCTGGTCACGGCCCCTCTGGTACCAGTTGAAGCTGGACTTACAGCCCTGGGGGTGCGAGCCAAACAGCCTGGAGGCCTGTGGGAGCACCCTAGGCTGTCCTGGTTACTGGATAGGCCTGGGAGGGAACCACATCTACCCCATGGCTGGGGTCGTGATCACCACCACCCTGATGCTAGTGATGGGTCGTCCGATGCTGCACCGGTGGCGTTCAAAGGTGACCACGGGTGGGGAGCGCAGAACGCCTGACCTCACAGTGCCTGTCTCCACTCATGCCTATTGAGCTCTGGCCTCTACCCAGCCCTTCCCAGCAGCCTGTCTGTGGTTCTGTGGACCTCCTGCTCAACCTTTTTCTAATCCGAACCTTATTGTCCTTGCATCTGGCCACAGGCCTCCATGAGTATAAGCTGTCCATTCCTGACTGTTTCCCATAGCTGTCCTCTCCCTCTCCAGAATCCCCTTTAGCACCTTGTTCTTCATCTAGCCCACTGGCCTCGTGACTGCTCTCGCCCATGGCAAGCCCTCTGTGACTGTCACCCAAAGTCTCCCCTCCTGGCCCTTTGGCACTGCCCTGTAGCCCTACACCTACTATCTCTGTTGCTGCCCCCTGACACCCCCCACTCACTCTCATCTCTTTGTTCTATTCTTAGCACCCACAGGTGACCACCAGTCCCTCTGGACCCTGGGAACGGCGAACACCGATCTCAGACCGCACTGTGCTCCTCAGGGTCCTTCATACGCTGGATGCCCTCCTGCTCCACATAGAGGGCCATCTGCAGCACCTAGCCACCCAGCAGTGCAAATAAAGGAGACTCCCACCCCATCTGGGTGACCTGACACACATTTCTCTTTGTCTGATGGCCAGGTGCAGGGAGTGGGGTGGCCTGAGACCCTATTCTTTCTGGGCCTGTCGGGACCCTTTTCACGCTTGGAGCTAGTGGATCCTTTGTGGATTTGGTGCTTGGCTTGGTTGGGCAGTGGGCCTGGCCTTCCCCTTACCCCACCAATTGCTCTTCCTTCCCCAAGGATCGCACCTGTACACATAGACCCTTCTCTACTCCACCCAGGAGCTGGGGACCTTCTGTGAGGGGGAGAGAAGACTGGTCCATCAGGGCAGGAATGGGAATCCAGCCAGGGCCACCAGAGGAGGTGACAACGTGCTGAGTTCTGTGGTGGGCTGTGGGTATGCTGTGGGAGGGCACAGGCCGAGCCAAGGTCCCCTTCCATGTTGGCAAGGCAGGCAGAGGTAATCTGTGAAGGCCCTCATGTGCCACCTGAGGGTCTCAACCTGGTCCTGAGAAGAGCAGCGGGCAGTGATGAGGCTCGGAGCAGAGCCCAAAGATTCTTGATCGGGACTGAGAACCCTGGGCCCTACGTGGTGACATCCACTGTTTCTCCCACCGTGCTACCACCTCACAGGCTGTGGGGAGCTGTCCTTGTGATGTTAGTTCTGCCACCCAAACCATCTGGCTCTGGTTCCCTTCTGCCCCATCCTTGCCAGGCCCTCGCCAAAAGAGGTCACTGCTCTGAGTCCCTGGATCCTTAACTCCTTCCCGGGACCCCACTTCCCTTTCAGCTCAGGCCCAACAGACTCAGCGTGGAGCCAGCTTCAGACATGCTCAAATGGCTGAATGGCCCTTGTTCCGTTAGCCTGGAAGAGAGGTGACCTCCCCAAAGGGATCCCTCACTACTTTCCTCCCTTCCACCACAGGTGGCCCAAGTTGAGTTGGACCTGAGGCACATGCATCTTTAGGACACCTGTTTTAGAAGAACATAACATCATAAATTAAAAAATAGAAACGGATGGATTAAAATACAGTGAGAATAGAGCGGGACAGTGTAACTCAGCAGTAAGTAGGTGCTTAGCATGTGTGAGGCCTTGAGTTCTCTCCCCAGCATGCAAAAAGAAAAGGTAAAGTAACAAGAGCTGGATGTATGGCACTCATGAAATCCCAGCCACACAGGAAGCTGAATCATGAGGGTTGCAAGTTCATGGTCAGCCTGGGCAGCTTAGCAAGGCTCTGTTTGTCTCAAGACAAACCAAATACATAAAAAGGCTGGGGACATAGCTCAATGAAGATGTGCCCTGGGCTTCAGTGCCCAGTATAGTTCTGGGGGAAAAAAGATGAGATTAGAACGAAAGGGATGTTGCCTGTCATTCCAGCACTTGGGAGGCTAAGGCAGGAGGATCGCTGTGAGTTCGAGACCAGCCTGGGTTACATAGTGAGTTCCAGGTCAGCCTCAACTATATAGTGAGACCCTGTTTCAAAAAACAACAACCCCAAAATAACCCCAAAAAGCCGAAAGGGATGTAAGTTGACAAATATTACAATAGTAAATCCAGAAAAATAACATTTGTGTGATGTGCTGACACATTCCTGTAATGACCCTCCCCCCCCATTTTGTTGTGTTTTACTGTTATGGTTCATACAGAAAATAAAGGGCTGGGGATTTAGCTCAGTGGTTCTGCTGCCTGCTTCAAAAGCCCAAGGTCCTGAGTTTGATCCCTGGTACCAAAAAAGAAAAAAAAAGAAAAGACATTAGGTATGGTGGCACATCCCTGTAATCCCAGCACATGGGAGGTTGAGGCAGGAGGATCACTGTAAATTGGAGGCCAACCTGGGCTATACAGTTTAAGGTCAGCCTGAACTGCATAATAAGAACCTGTCTCAAAAAAAAATTTTTTTTGTAGGGTTTTTGGGGGGTATTTTTCATACTGAAAAATAGAAAAATAATCCAGTCTTTCTTTTTAAAGTAGTTTATTGAAATTTGTGTTATTAGTTTAAGAAGTTATTTTTACTTCCTCACCTGTCTTGGTAAATTGCTTAGGCTGGCCTTGAACTTGCAATCAGCCGTCCAAATAGCTGGGATTACAGTTCTGCCCCACTACATTGGCTCAGATGATCTTAATTTTTCAAGTGTTATGAAAATACCTGCCCCTTTGGACAAATCCTGTCAGGCTCTTCTCAGGTCCCTGACAGTGAAGGGCCCTGAAGGTCAAGCTTCAGCCTACCTCTGCTTCTGCAAGGGTTAATGAGCCCCGCGTGCTGGCCCCCTATGGTATGGTATTGTGACGTGAGTGTGCAACAAGGGACTCAGTAGACCCGGCCCTCCCTCCCTCCTCCCAGAGGGGAATGGCAGAGGTGAAGATACTTGAAAAGACAACGACTAGAGAGAAGTGTGTTGCCCCATGGATTGTGCTAGTGCAGAACTGGGCTGCCTGCTGGGACCTGAGGGACAAGTGAGCAGAGAAGGGCAGGGAGTTCTAGTCAAGGACGAGCAGAGACGAGTGCCAAGTGGGAGACACCACAGGATGCTCAAGATCTCGGGGCAGAGGCGTTCCAGAGAGCAGAAGGGACGGGGTGGGGAGGGACAGGTTGGTGATTCCTAGAGAGGATGCAGGAGGTGGAACAATAAACATAAATATGTCCATGCCTTGATCCCCAGAACCTGTGAATGTGTTGCCGTACGTGGCAGAGGTAACTGCAGATGAAATTAGGGAGAAGGAATTTAAAATAAGGGCGATCATTACAGATTATGCTGGGGGCCCAATGTCATCCCATGAGTCCCGAGAAAGCAGAGGAGGAGGGCAGGACCTAGTCAGAAACCCAAGGCATGAGATGCATTTGACTTGACCCTCCACACATGGCCAAGGATCCGAGAAACTCAGGTGGTCTCTAGAAGCAGGGAATGACCCTTGGGTGACAGGCAGCAAAGAAACAGAAAACTCAGCCCTCCAGCTACTGGGACTTGAATTCTGCCAACATCCTTAGTGTCCCCTAGGACCTCTGGAAAGGGATGAAGCCCTGCAACGCCTGGAGGTCAACCCGGTGAAACCCATGTTGGATTTCTGGCACACAGATGGGTGAGATGATGAATCTATGCTGTTCTAAGTCACTAAGTTTGTGGTAATTGTGTATGTGTGGAACTTGGGATCAAACCCACAGCCACACACATTCTAAGTGAGCACTGTACCCACTGAGCTATACCCTCAGCCCAGGGGACAATTTGTTATTCAAGTTGAAAACCAATATATGTGGATACCAAGAATGAGGCACTGCTACAACAAATAACAAGACTGTGGAACTGAAGCACTGCTAATGGGGCAGTGGCCAGAGACTGTCCAATAGAAGAATATTGAGGCAGGGCCAGGGATTTAGCTCAGGGGTACCGCATAATAGAAAAAGTCCAGATTAAGCTGGGTGTGGTAAACTCAGGGAGGCTGAGGCAGGAGGGTTGCAAGTTTGAGCCCTGCCTGGGCAATTTCATGAGACCATTTCAAAATAAAGAAAGGTCTAGAGGTGTAGCTCAGTGGTAGAATGCACCTGGGTTCAATCCCACAGTACTGGAAAAACAAACAAAAAAACAACCTATATTTGCCTTCAGCCAACCTTCAAGAGAAATCTGAACTTTAAGGATAGTCTGGCGAGGGGTTGAAAGGAAATGAAGAATGATTTTGAAAGCTGGAAAGAAAAGAAAAAAATCCTTGATATATAGTCACAGGAAGCTTGGAGGAGTTGTATATCAGAGTGAAAAGCAGAACTTGTAAATTTTGGACTTGGGTACAAAGCAGCAGGGACTCCTAAGCAAAATTTCAAAGGTATAGTCTCGTTTCTTCTTGCTACTGAGGTGATGTGTAAGTACAGGGAGATAAACTGAGGAGGAACTGTCAGTTAAAATGAGATCTGGATTTGGTGTTGAGAATTCTCAGCCAACTGTTCAGAAAAGCACTTTACTCTGAATTTAAAGTTGATGCAATTTAATCAAGTCAGGTTTTTCTTTGTGGTTAATAAAGTATTTGTAGAAATAATACAGTAGAAAAATGTGATCTTCCAGGATGGTGGGTCAGGAAGCTGGAATTTGCAGAAACTACCTGCAGCAATTTTTGTGAAACTGGAGAAGCCTCAGTGAACATTTGTAGCATGAAGGAGAGAGTCTGAGGAGGGAGCTGGCTGGCTTTACAGTATTTCATTATTTCCTGTCATTTCAACACTCCAGCTGAAGTTGCTTCAGAATTTAGAGACAGTACTCAAAGGAAATCTTTGTCAGATCATTGACTGTTCTCAGAGACAATGGAACAGAAATTTTGGTGTTCATACACAGCAAAGAATATACACTGAAAAATAGTATGGAAGAATTACAAACAAGTGGCCCCAGGTTTTAGTAAATAGAAGTCAGCAGCCTTTGAGGGGGGGCCTTGGATTGCCAGAGGTGACACATGTAATATTCATAATGCCAGTTCTGAAAATAATAATAGAAAGATAGAAATGTTGAGCGGGGAGGGGAAAGTTCTGGAGCTGCAGAGTGAAATAATTAAAGTGAAAAATTGACTAGGATGTTTAACAGCAGATTTGAACAGGCAGAAGAAAGGATCAGAGGGCTGGAAGACAAGATCCATTCTGAGATTAGTCAGAAAATCAGTGAATGGGCTGGGGATTTGACTCAGTTGTTCTGCTGCCTGCCTTTTGAGCACAAGGACCTGAGTTCGATCCCTGGTACCACACCAAAAAAAAAAAAGAAAGAAAAAGAAAATCAGTGAATAAAAAGAAACTCATCTTGAAGGGTGGGGTGGGGGGGATCATCAATCAGAATAATATACGCATTGTGGGATTTCAAGGAGAAAAAAGGAAAGAAATCTGATACAGAAGGAAGCAATCCTGTCATCAAAGAGAAGAAAAAAGAAAGCTAAGTATATACTACTAGCAAGATGTCTCCAGAGAGCACTGCAGGGCAGAACAATGTAAGAATCTTAGTCGCCAAATAATCAGTATTTCTAGGGTTTGCCACTTCTGTCATCTCATGAGGATCAACACACCCATGACTGGGACCCATGAGCATTCCCTGGGTGTCAGACCCGATCA